CCCCCGGGCCTCGTGGCGCCGGCTCGATCCGAGAGCTCACGGCGGCTCGCGGTTCAGAGCCGACTGCTCGCAGAGACGCGGCCGGATCCCAGGGCCGAGCAGCCAATGGCCCAACCACTGCGCGCGCCGCGCTCCGCGCATGCGCACGCACGCGCTGGAAAGGGTGAAGTGGGAAGGAGGGGACTCACCTCGGACTGCATGTACCAAAAAACCCGTCCACAGCGGGAGGGGGCGCGGCCATTGCGCGCCCACTGGGGAATGTGGCGCTGGCCCTGGAACGGCGCCAGGGGGAAGTGTAGAGGTTGCTTAGTACTCAGTTCCGATCTTGCTAGAAGTTTGCTAGCGCCGAAGCGGGCAGCAGCCAGTGACAGCGTGTCAGTCACCAGTCGCTCCCCCTACTCAGTCTCACTTGGTACATCCCCATGATGGCAAACGGGACTTTTGCGAGGAAAAAGACAGTGAGGCACTCAGTCCTAGTTTCTTGAGGAGCCTCAAGAGGCAGCGGTTTTAAAGGTTCGCGACAAGATGATTTTTCTAGGAGAGGTGGCCTGGAGAATCATTGGCTTTTACCACCTTAGATAGGACAGAATCTAGCCCCGCCCAGCTGCTCCCCACTCCTCCCCGATCGCGAGCTCATTGCCACTGTGAACGTGTGCGGCCCCGCCCTTTGAGGTTGTTGCCCAGCCAATCGGATTTGCTCTCTGGGGTGAGGCAGAGCAAGAATGAAAGGCGAGGCCTGGCTGAAGAGGCGTGATTTCACTGTCCCGACCACGCCTCTGCCAGCTTTTCATTGGTTTTTACAGTAGAGGAGGCGGGTCCTCCTTTTTGTTCTGCACGCCTTTCTTACCATAGATCAAGTATCCCACAAGGTGATTGGTCAAAAGACCATTCAATCGCGTTTCATCCCGCCTTTAACCCCTCCCATCTCCGTCAGAGAGGCTCACGGGGTGGAGCCTAGGCTGATGGGAAAGAACAGACCTTTAGAGGGGCGAGTGCATTACTGCGCATGTTTGGGACTTGGGGCTGGAAGGAGGCCTCTTTTCTGTCTCAGACGAGGATTTGCACTCCGAATTGGGTTTTCCTGCCACCCTTCCTGCCACCTCTTCTGGCCCGCCAGAGCCCCGTCCATGGCTCCTCCCAACCCCTGGGCTTCTGCGGTTTTCCATTTTATTTATTGGGCGCCTGTTGTGTGTCAAGCACTGCCTGGCAGACCTAATCCCTCGCCCTTCTCTGCCTGGAAAACTCCTACACTATCACCAAGCCCAGTTCAAATGGCGGCAGCCTCTGGCAGGACTTCTAGAACATTTTTACACTGCACCCTAGTCCACAGTCAGCTTCCCCACCTCTCCTGGGCTTCCCTTTATGGCACCCTTGGTCATACCAGTTAGTTTTCAGTAAGGTTCGTACTAGCGAGGATTTAGGGGAGCATGAGAGGAACGGAAATAATTTGACAAAGACAAAAGTCCACCACTGAAACGATAATCAGGTCCATCATTTCCCTGACTTCATCTCTTTTCTCACTCCACTCCAGCCGTGCTAGTATCCTAGTTGTTCCTGTATAAAGCAGGCACAATCCAGCCTCAGGGACTTTGCACTCGCTGCTCCCTTTTCCTGGAATGCTCTTCTTCCAGATATCCACAGGCCTCGCCCTCTTCTTCCAAGTCCTTGTTTCAGTGTCACCTTCTTCATGAAGTCTTCCCTGACTCCCATATTTTAAAATGCCTACCTGCACCCCCATCATTCTGGACCTGGCTCTTTTGAATTGCACAGATGAACTTATAACACACAACTTACTTAGCGTGTCTACTGTCTATTCTGGGTCTCACCCTAGGAAAACAAGCATGCGCGCACACATACACACGTGCACCCCACCTCGGGACAGGGGTCTTTTTTATCTGTTTCTGTCTCCAATGCCTACAGTAGTGCCCAGCACACAGTAAGCACTCAATAATGTTTACTGAATACTTGATGACAAATAATTCTAGAAAGAGACAAGAAGAGACAACTTTATCCCACCCTTTCTTTCGTGTCTGCTGGGTGCAGAGAGCTCAGTGCGGTGACCCACCCCTGCCCACTGAGCCCTGGTCTCCCATCTTGCTGGTGTTCTAATAGTTGGCAAATGTGACAGGGCCATAAAATGGCATGTGTGGGGAACTAAGATGCAACCAAGATTTACAGGGGTTTTGATGAGGAAGCTGTTCTTATACTTTCTGCGCATGAGGTAGCAAGGGGATACAGGGGCTGTGGTGGTGAAGGGACAGCAGTGTCTGGAGAATCAGGTGTAATGAGGGAGATACAGTGAACAAGGTCTAGAGTACCCATGAAGGCACTGGGACACTGGAGAAAGGAGGCAGAGGAATCAAGTTTGGGTGCAAGTGTCAGATGCTGTAACAGTGGGATCAGCAGACAGAAGTGTGGCGTATTTAGCATACTCTAAAGCAGTGATAATGGAAGAAGTAACTGTGGTAAGAAAACCTCTCCACTTGACCTAGACAGACAGCATCACCACTAAGTGGATGCCAGAGGTACAGCACTTCAGTCCCTAATGTCCTGGTGGGGAATGAAAGGAAATATGGAAGGATGAGGTCACCGAAGCACTACAGGCCAAGAGAAAAAGTCATGAGAGGGAGGTGGGCAAGGGCATATGCTGTACTTGGGGTCTGGAGCTGGCCCAGGAGGCAGCAGATGTGGGGACAGGCTGTAAAGGGTGTCAGGTCAGGGTCAGGCCAAGTTGTGCTATTCCCAATACCCAGGTTTGACTGAAGGAATGAGGGGTCTGTTTCTAAATGGAAGTTGGAATCTGGCTGGGTGAGGGACAGAAGTATGAGTGGCATCCTCAGGCACCAGGTGTCCAGTCAGATTGGTGCTTTCAACTGTCTAGGGTGCTCAGCCAAAACCAAGGACGGAGTGTGGGCAGCTCTGCAGTGCTGGTGGGGTTCATGGTGAGCCTCCTACTGCCTGCTCGAACCAATCAACAACCCACAGCCAGCTCTTCTCGAAAGTAGGAGGCCTCACAACAGGCAAACCAGGCCTGAAGGACAGGAAAGGGGCTTTTCCTCTACGGATGTTCTCAGCCAAATATTTTCATCAAAACTGCAAAGTATGCACAAACACTGGCATTCACAAACACTGGCATTCCTCAGTCCAGCAGAGCTGCTGAGTCCCCCCTGCAGCAGGGAAGTTGAACTAAGGGGACCACAGGCATTCTTGGCACTGGGAGCCACTATGCTAAAGGCTTGTCCAGGGTCTGAGTGCTCTGACCCAGGTGGGAAGGGATCTTCCCCAAGGACATAAGCCACACTGACCAAGCCCTGACCGACTGGTTGCCCTAACTCTCCTCTTCACAGAAGGAGAGGACGAGGTCACCCAAGCAGCACAGGCCAAGAAAAAGTCATGAGAGGGAGGTGGGCAAGGGCATATGCTGTATGCTTCACAGAGGTGGGGGA